ACACACACACACAACACAGTTCACCACCCTGGCAAGACTACTCATTGACTCAGCCGGTCTTCCTGTTAATCTACAAGCCTCCATCTCTTCCTCTCTTTCTCTTCCCCCCGTCATCGCCCTCCCTCCACTTTCTTTTTACCTGCCGGGCTCATTTGGCGCCATTTGCTTTTTATGTTCTACCTAATTCTTCATTCAAATTGTAGGTAGAAAAACAAAACAAAGGTAAAACCTTACCTGCTACCATGCCTGTGATGGCAGAGGAGGAGTATCCTGACTGGGCAGGGGAGGGGATGTGAGGTGGGTAGCCTGGCAGGGTGGAGCTTACCATGTCACGCCCTAAAAACACACACCAAAGCACACACCTTTAACATCAAGATGGAAGTTTTAACTATTTTGTTTGTTACAGCTATAAAGATGTTCTGGTTTAAGGTGTGTTTTTGCCGTAGAGAAAATACACTGAATTACTGGATCATCAGAACATGCATATAAAACAATTTTAAAAAACAGTTAAGACATTTTTTAAAGAAAAAATGCCAGCAATGCATTGGTTTCAGCTAAGTGGATGGGAGTATTTGCCTTGTATGATGGTAAACTGAGTTCAAGTAAGAATTTACATAGTTACCAAACTATGAATCAAATACACAGCAGTTTAATAAATAAATAATAAACTAATAATAAACTTGTTAGTTGCAGCCTTACACATATTTCCCCCTGCCAGAAGTTGCACAGCACAAATGTAAGCGTGAACATGAACGAGATGGGTGCCTGCATTACCTGAGATGATAGACTGACTGCTGAACTGCCCATACACTGGTGCATGATGGGAGAATGAGTTGAAGGCGTTTGGGTAATGGTTGGAGTTGCTGCAGCTGCTGCTGACTGAAACGGGCTTCTGCAGCGCCTGCAGCTCCACAAATGCCAGGTTGGACGCTGCCATGTTTGGGGAGGGGCTTGTGCTGGTCACTTCTGGGGACATTTCCTGTTTTAGACAGAGCGGCAGGGACTGTAGGGGCTCTGAGGTGGTGACAGCCAGTGGGCAGGTGGGCAGGTGAGAAAATCAAAACAAATGGTGAACATGACGAGTGGAACTACAAACTCAGAATGAGTGAAATGTCAAAAACAAACAGAGAATGAGCACACGGTGCACCGCGGTGTGTGGTAACAGTCAGCACGCGGGTCAAAGGGCAACATCTAACATTAAGAGTCTCACCAGTCACCATGGTGTAGCTCTGGTGCGCTGCCAGGTTGCGTCCAATGGCGGAGCTGGATGTTGAGAGGCTGGTCTTGGCCTCGTCTAGGCTGCCATTGATGAGGGACAGCGGGTACAAAGTCTGGTGATGATGAACAGGGATTAGCTATTGGTGTAAAGTGTGTATGAGAAGGAGCAAATATGCATGTGTTAAAAT